CTAACTCCCTCTCTCTTGCCCACTGCGTCCTCCGGGCTCATCTGCAGACCTCCTTGCACAAGTCGATGTGGCAGCGCTTCCGCATGGCTCACGCAGGAGTGAATGAATGGCTGGGCGCTGCCTCTTGATTTATACTTCAGAAACTCGTTGGTCTGCCCCTTGCCATCGGCCCTTGGTGCTCACAGTCCCCCTGTGGTACTTGCTGGACCAGACTGGGACTGACTGGACCTTCTGCTGACTGACTGTGGACTCACCGTTATCCTACCGACGCTGTACTGCTGTTGCACTGCGGTTTAGTCCACCACTTGTCTCGCCACTTGACCACTTGCCCACTTGCCTACCTTCTAGAAGGTCTACAGCTAAGCTTCCGGAACTCACTAAGACTCCTATGCTATAGACCTACAGATCGAACCCCTGCTGCCTATGGACCTACGACAGGCCTACCAACTGCCTACGAATACACAGGTCACAGGTTCAATTCTCGGGGTCTACACAGATACTGTACATGGGTAGGGTGAGGTCTAGGGATCGAACCCTGGGTACGGCATCCGCTACTGCTAAAAGGTGAAAACCGTTTCATTCCCGCCGTCCTAAATTCGAGGTCCTCCGAGAACATTTCAGTCCAAGGCGGGACCTTTACCTTTCTTGTCACGTTCATAGGCTCTGACTATGTCGGGWGCGGTTTCTAGAAGTTCTGTTTTCGTGAACCAGCGGTCGTCTTCCGGTTCCTGATAGGCAAAACGGACTTTGTATTGTTTCTGGGGACGACCTCTACCTCCTGTTCTGAACACATCCTCATCTACAATGCCTTCAATGTCATAACTTCCGTCCATATCCGGGGGGATCATGGATCTTCTCGAAGGGAACTGTTGACTTGTGACACACTGTAGCAGCTTTGAAGCATGAAACACAGGGTATGTGTGGAGGTGTGCTGGAATCTCAATGCTATAGGACGGCCCATCCTCTCCGCCCTTGACTTCTAGAACCGGCCACGGTCCTCTATATGCGGGCAGTAACTTCTGCGAGATGTTTTCCTCAGGTGCAAACTCTTTAGCCTTGACCCAGACTAAGTCGCCTACCTGAAATTGCGATGGGCGTCGGTGCTTGTTAGCCTGTTCTATCATTCTGTGCTGGGCCTTCCGAAGGTTCTCAACAACAGTGGCTAACTCCTGTTTGTGCTGTATTGCAAACTCCCTGGTACCGGGCGGTAATCTATGAATCTGATCCCGGTTCAGTCCTTCGAATGGTCTGCGTGGTCTGAAGGACTTGTGCAACTCATTGGGAGTGTGGCAGGTGGATAGATGCACGCTGTTGTTGTATGCACTAGCTACCTTAGGCAACATCTCATCCCAGTTAATCTGATCTGGTCTAATGTACATGCGCAGAACTTGCT